TCTGCTTTGATTTTTGGGACACTGGGACTGGGAAGGGTGTGCCGTAGAGGGATGATCATTAGAAGACACTGGGGTCCTACTGCCAATGCCTGGGGTAGGGAGGCGGGGGTCGGGGAGAAGCCAGCTAGGTGGGAGAGGTGGCCAGGGGCCAGGCTTCTCACTCACCCTGGTAGATGAAGACACTGGACACCCCAACCCCTGAGATTTGCCAGAGCCCCTGGGACAGAGCGGGGAGAGTGGCGATCAACTGGATGGGTCCGGCAGGGAGGTTCAGGCAGCTCACCGAGGACCAGGAGGGGGCCGCTGCAAGAGACAAAGGCAGTGAGGTGGCGTCTCCCACAGCATCTGTGTTTGTAATGCTGCTTTGTGACTCTTCGATCAATGTCTGACCGCCCTAAAGGCTCTCGTTTCCCCGCGAGCAGCAGCTGCGTCCGTCTTGCCCGCGGTGGTGTCCCTGGCACCCAGCAGCGCGGCTGCACAGAGAAGGTTCTCCACAAAGAGACAATGAACGTGTAGGGCTGGTGGGCGAATTCCCTAACCGGTGGAGACTCCCTCCTAGGCCGCCCCAGATGTGTTTCCTTCTGAGGCGTGTTCCCTGGCAGGGACTGAGCTGATGGGGACCCTGAGGATAACGCTGGCTGGGGCAGAGGTGAGTGACATCAATGGGGGGTGCGGTTCCTGTTCCTGGCAGTCCCTGCCTTCAGGCCGGCTCCTCAGCCACCTCCTGGGAGGGGAAAGCCCACCCTCTCCGAGCCCCTAACATACTGGGCATCTGGACGGTTTCTTCCAGGGGGATCTGGCCGCACGCTGGCTCCTGGTTGAACAGAGCAGGTGGTGGCAGGAAGGGCAGGGCAGAGGAGTCGCTCACTGGCCCCACCAGGAAACTGCCAGTCACCATGGGCATAGCAGGGGCCTCGGCTGTGAGGAAGGGGCCGTGTTAGAGGCTGGGCGAGGCCTGGCTGGGTGCCTGGACGGGGCTCCCTGGGGTGGCAGGGCTCTCCCGGATCGCTCTCCTGGCGGTTAGAGGAAACGCCTGTGCTCCCTCAGCCCTGCTGCAGCTGGGCTGGTTAGCAACTGCTGTGTGCCGGGCGCTGCCCAGCCCTCTCCTTGGGACCGGCCCCGAGAGCTTCCCTGAGGCCCCCCACACTCAGCTGGGGCAGAACAGAACCTAGAACAGGCTGCTGGCTCCAGGCCACCACCTCCCAGGGCCAGTCACTGAGCCCTGCAGGGGACCCTAAGAAGCCCCAAGCTCTCAGGCTGCGCCCGATGAAAGGCAGGGGTTGCACCATTACGCCCCTCCGCCCCCGCCATCAGACTTGGGGCAATCTCCTCCAGTGAATGGGGAGATCTAAGGTGGGAAGGATTTGTCGCCCCTATCAGACTGGGAGTCTTGGAGAACAGGAACCCTGTCTCTCCCATCAGATTAGGAGCTCCCTGTGAACAGGGACCACTGCTCCATCATCCTGGAGGGGGTCTTCGCGGGCAGGGCCACTGTCTCCATGATCAGACTGGAACTTTCTGAGGGCAGGGACTAGGCTTCCTCCCTGGGACTATGAGCCTGCCATTCCTCCGTTGTCCACACCCGGGCTGGTCTCCCGACCTTTGTGATCACAACTGGGTAGGAGGGAAAGGAAGAGAAAGGAAGGAGGGGGAGGAAGAAGAGGGAAGCGGGGAAGGGAGAGGAGGGAGAGGAGGGAGAGGAGGCAGCATCTGGTGGGAGGAGCTTGGGGGAGGGTCACACTCAGCAGGAGGCCGCTGAGGAGGGCAGGAGGGCACTGGGTGCCTGGCCCAGCCCAGTGACTCTGCACTCTGAACAAAGAAGCGTGGCGTGGGGGAGAGGGCAGTGGAACGAGGCTGGGGCGGGTGTCAGCTCTGACTCAATGAAGGGGTGTCCGGGGACAGGCTTCCTAGGAGAAGCTCAATCTCCCAGCAGCCCTGTAACTTCAGGCCGTGGGCTAAGGGATCCTGACCTTGAATTGACTTCCACCTTCCCTCTCATTAGCTGTGTGATTTTAGACAAATGACTCCCCCTCTCTGAGACTCGGCTTCCAATGCCAGTTTATATGGGCACCTGCGGAGGCCCCTCCCTGGCCCCCTGCCCTGCTCACCCTGCTTCCGGTGCTTCAGGTCTGCAGGCAGCTCCTCTGGGAAGGCTGCAGAGAGAATGCCACGGTCAGCTGCCCAGGGAAGGAGTGTCCCAAGCCAGGAGGGGCTCGTGACCCCAGCAGGCCATAAGGCCTTACCTCCAAGGGCTGGGAGGTGGCCTTGGGGGCCCCATCCTCTCCCCTCCGTCCCTCCCCTTCCTCCGGCTTGAACCCAAACCCACCTCGGAGCACCCCTGACAGTGAGGGCAGCAGAAGAAGCTGAGCCACAAAGGGGACACAACATGGGTTTGAGTCACAAAACAAAACAACCAGCTTTTGAATCCCCGCCTAGCCGTGTGCTTTTGCAACGAGCACATGTTCTGGCACATAGCAAGCACCTCAGCGAGCTGTTACGCCCGTTTTACAGACATTTTCATCCAGCAGGTATTTGTTGAGGTGCAGCTGTGTACCAGGCACTGTGCTATCTGCTGGAGATGCAGCGAAGAGCAGGGAGACAAGGTCCCTGTCCTCACAGTAGGAGAACCGGCAACAGGCAATAAATAAATATGTCCAGATTGCAACAAATGCTAAGGGGCTAGGAGAGGCGCGAACAGGGTGAGCATAAGTGAGCCAATCTATGTGGAAGGGGAGTCAAGGACGGCTTTCAGGAGGAGACAACACTTTAGCCAAGTCCTAAAAGATTAGAAGGAAGCAGCCAAGGGAAGAACTGGAGGAAGGGCATTCCAGGTAGAGAGAACAGCAAGTGCAAAGGCCCTGGGGCTGGACAGGACACGTGGGTTGCAGGAGTGGAAAGAAGCAGTGGCTGGAGCGCAGTGACTCAGGGTGGGAAAGGCCGGATCGCGCAGGCCCTGTGGTGTGTGTGTGTTGTAGCCAGGAGGGTTAGCAGGGCCATGAAATGATCCGATTCGCATTTAAAAGCTTCCATTGGGCACCACATGAGGACAGACTAAGGAGGAAACTGGGTAGGAGGCTCAGAGAGGTGCAGGTACTTGGCCAAGGTCACACAGACCGTAAATAGCAGGTCCAAGATTCAAACACAGTTCTTGCTGTTGCCAGAACCTGTGCTGGAAGCAGCCTCCCTCAAATACAGGGGTGACCACTAAGGATGAAAGAGAAGCCAGAACCCAAAGGTCCTTTTGGAAATGACAATCAGAACAGCCAGGGACAGAAACCCACCAGGAGAATGGGCATTTGCACCTGGGCCATCTGTGTCTCCCCTGGGTCACCAACAAGTGGAAGTGAGGGGCAAGGCAGCAGGGACCCTCAAACCCAGGCAAGGTAGACAGGATTTGACGAGGAAAGCAACTGGGAGCCACAGCAGGCTTTGGAGCCAAGGAAGGGCCAGGTCTCAAGCAAGGCGAGGTTGGGTCAGGGAGGGACTCACTCACGTCTTTTCTGACTTTTCTGCCCCACTTCTGCTGGCACCTCCACACTGTCACCGATCACTTCCTCTGATCCTATGTGCTCTACTTCGGAGAAAAACCAGAGACCAACTTGCACGGTAAGTGGAGGCCCAAGGCGAGCCTCTACTGTCCCCACAGTGGGGACAGGGGTCTGACTGCCCAGGGAGGGGTGGTCATCAGGTATTATGGCACTCCCCAAGGAACAAGGACGGACATGCGGGCTGAGCCAAGATTCACCGCCCTCCGCACTCACCACAACTTACTGAAAATGTCTTTGCTCAGCCCCTCCAGCTGGGAGTCCTGGAACACGTACTGGTCCAGTTCCGCTACCCAGGCAAGGAAAAGCTCAGTCAATCAACAAGGTCTCACGGAAGGCCTGCTGTGTGCCACACCTTGGTTAGTCACCACGGGGCTGTGACCCTCTGGGCCCGGCACACAGTGGGGGCTCAATAAATGTTTGCTGAATGAATGACCAAACGAATGGATGACCACTGACCTTTCATGGGCTCTCTCTCTCTTTTTTTTTTTTATTTGAGACAGAGTCTCGCTCTGTCACCCCGGGTAGAGTGCGGTGGCGTCATCGTAGCTCACAGAAACCTCAAACTATTGAGCTCAAGTGAATCTCCTGCCTCAGCCTCCTGAGTAGCTGGGACTACAGATGCGTGCCACCACGCTCGGCTAATTTTTTCTATTTTTGGTAGAGATGGGGTCTCGATTTTGCTCAGGCTGGTCTCGAACTACTAACCTCAAGTGATCCTTCCACCTCGGCCTCCCAGAGTGCTAGGATTACAGGCATGAGCCACCCTGCCCAGCCCTTTCATGGGTTCTTAATCTCATTGAAAGGGTGAGGTATGTATCCACAAAAACTCATCTGCTGCTCTAAAGTAGCACAAGGTTGACTGATAGAATTGGCAGGAGGTTTGAGTTCAAATTCCACCTCCACTCTCCACACGCCCTACTAGCTATGCAACCTTGGACCAATTACTTAGCCTCTCTGAACCCCATTTCCTCATCTGTGTAAGGAGAATAAATAACACCTACTACACAGGGATACATGGTGATGATTAGAGGCTCTGCATTTAAAGCATTCAACATAGTACACAGTAGGCACTCAATAAGTGGTGGTTAATTATATGAAGTAGTACATGGCTCAAAGAGAGTTATCATGGAAGGAGGTCAGAGAAAAGAGTGTATAAGGGGCTGGGGCAACCAGGGAAGGCTTCCTGGAGGAAGGGAAACTGGAGCCAGGTCTTAAAAGATGGGGCAGAGTCTGAGAGAAGGACAATGGATGGCTTTCCGGGTCATGGTGACAGAGCGAGGAAAGGTGGTCAAGGGTATGTTTGGGAAACTCTGAGAGGTAGGTGACTATGGTAGAAGTTTCATGTTGGGGAAAGTCAGGACTTGATTTTATAGACGATGGGGAGCCATGGGGGTCTGAGCCAAGGACTGGAACGAGGGCAGCGATGACGATGACATCAATGGCGGTGATGTTGTGTGGTGGTATTGAATGCTTACTCTGTGCAAATTCCTTTTCTAACTGCTTTGCACACCGTGACTTTGTCAATCTTACAACCATCTCATGAGGTAGATGTGATTATTATCCCCATTTTACACGTACGGAAGCCAAGGTCATGTTTCAGGATGCCTCAAAGGAATACTTGCCCAGGCCTGGGCTTGGCCTTCTAGAAGCAAAGAGAAAACCCTTGGGCAAAGTACCTGCTATGGTTTGAATATATGTCCCCTCCAAAACGCCTGCTGAAATTCAATCCCTACTGCGGCACTATCGAGAGGCGGGGCCTGTAAGATGTGATTGGAGGCTTCAAGAGGCCTCGTGAATGGGCTCATCCACTTACGGGTTGATGGGTTCATGGGTTAGGGATTAATGGGTTATCATGGGAGTGGGACTGGTGGCTTTATAAGAAGAGGAAGAGAGACCTAAGCTAGCACACATGGCCCCCTTGTCACGTGATGCCCTGCTCTGCCTTGGGACTCTGCAGAGTCCCCACCAGCAAGAAGGTCTCCACCAGGTGCAGCCCCTCAAGCTTGGATTTCCCAGCCTCTGTAACTGTAAGAAACAAATCCTCTTCTTATAATAAAACTACTCATTTTCAGGTATTCTGTTATAAGCAACAGAAAACAGACTAAGGCACTGCCTCACCTACTTGCTTAGGCAGCTTCCCCACCTACGGAGATGCCGCTAAAGGAAAAAAAAACCCAAATCCTAAGAGATGCCCAGATACTTAATTACTGCCTCCAGTTTTGAGGAAATGTAAGTGCCCTCATCCCCAAACACTTCTGCTTCCTCTAAGTAAATTCCCAGGAAGGGAAGGAAGCAGGCAGCCTCTCAGTTCTGTAATTTCGGAGACAGGGATAGTTACCACTTCTCTCCATATTCTGCCTCTGGGTGATGTTCAATTAACTGTGCTCAGGGGAAAAATTGGCCACATTTGCGCCAAGCACAAAACTGCTGAGTAATGTGGTTCCTGGGTTGCCAGGAAAAGAGCCACTGAGAACAGCCGTGCAGGTTGTCCACCGCACAAGGGTTCCCCGGCCAAGGGGCAAATGGGAGCAGGAGTCCAGCTTGTGCTTTGCTAGCCAAGCTGTTACTGCCTGGCAGAGAGTCTAGAAGAAGGGGCATTTTTTCCTATTTCAGCAAAAGTTCTGTGTGAGGCAGTGGTGATGCTGGTGAGGAGGGAGCCTCTACCCTACCCACGACCCCCCCAAAAAAAACCCCAGCAGCAGCAGCAACACCTCCCTCCAGAAAGTTCTGCCCTTGTCTGAAAGCTGCAAACCAGCTTCCCAGCTTAAGCTTTGGCAAACCTTCCAACTCCAGATGCTTTCCTTTTTGTAGTTAAAAATGGGGACTTTGAAATGAAAAAGACTTAGGTTAGAATTTCAGACCTGCCCATTCCTATCGCTAATGTAGCCTCGGGCAGGTTGGTTCGCCTCTCTACTCCTCAGCTTCCTCATCTGTACAGAGGGGGGCTGACAGCACCTACTTCCTTTGCTGTGACGTCTGAGGCAATGACGCACGTGCCGCAGCGAACACGCCGTGAGTGCCCAGTAAATGGCAGTCACTGCAAATACTAGAGTAGTTTGGCTCAGGGGTGGGAAGGAAAAGGGCGAGAGGTGCATGGCGCAGGCTTTGTGGGACAGACAGAAAGAAGAGCACGAAACAGAAATGGAGGCAGAGGAAGTAAACGTGAGGTTCTGGTTGCCTGGTGGTCGTTAGTGGCGGGGCCTGTTTCCCGCACTGGCCCACATGTCCCCGCTTCCCTGGAGTCTCTGTTCTTCCAGCCCCTGCTCAGCAGCCCCCTTCCCATGATTTCTGGGGGAGAAACCTGCTGAGGCTCAAGGCGAACGGGTGAGATTAACAAAGGAGGACAAAGAACGCTTCCCCTCGGGGGCTTCCTCACCGATATTGGCATAAGTCTCCCTGGTCTCTTCGTCACCTTCCATGTCACACAGCAGGCTGCTGAACTGGTCGCAGTTGATGGTGTCTGTGTCGGGTTCTGGAAGGAAAAGCCCCTTGGGTGAAGCAGGAAAGATCTGAGAAGAGGGCTGGCGGGGAAGGAGGGAGAGGCCGCAGCGCGAGCACGGGGAGCTGTCCGTGGTGCTGACCGGAGCTCCGCGGCCCGCACCTCCCCAGTTGCTGTCCCAGCCGGCTGAGAGGTGGGCCACAGGGAGGGGAGCCCACCTGAGCAGAGCTCAATCTCTTCTTCTGCAGCCAGGTCCATCCGGTCATAGAGATGGTAGAGATGCCAGGGGTCAGCATCGCTGTTGAGAAGCTCCAGGTACCCGCCTTCTGGGGGTCCCGACTCCATGGCGGCACGCTGTGCACTGCCTGGGAGAGAAGCCATGTCCAGTCATCTCACGGGGTGTGGGAGGGAGGCAGAGAATTAACACCTACAACAGTTCCCAGCTGGTGAGGGTGGCGCTGGGGGCAATGAACAACAGTAACCATTCAGCACCTCTTATACGCTCCGGGCGGTTGAGAGAGGAAGCCATATTCCCTTCCTTCAGGGAACTTACAACCACATTGGGAAGATGCCCATGAGACAGGAAAGGGAACTGGGGAAGTGTGGATTCAAGGGATCGCACACGAGGGAGTCAGGAGACCTGGGTTCCACGCTTGGCACCGCCATGAAAAATACCAGCTAAGATTATAGAGCACTTACTATGTGCCAGGCACATGAGCTGGCACGTTTAATCATCACATCAACAACCATGTAAAGCAGGTACCATCACTACCTTCATTTTACATGTGAGAAAACCGAGGCTCAGAGAGGTGAAGTGACTTACATACGGAAACCCAGGTCTAAGTGGAACCAGAATTTGAACCCAGGCAGTCTGACGCAAGCACCTGCATTTAAGTGCAATGCTGTACTGCCTTGGGTGATTTTAAGCAAGTCTCTTCTCTTCATGCCTCAGTTTCCTAATATGTAAATTGAAAGAGTCTGGGAAGAGCCTCTCTAAGATTCCTTCACCATCATTTGTTGAAGGGCGTATCAAATACTTCGAATGCTGCCTCATTTAATCTTTAAAGCAATCCCAGGCACGCCGCACTAAAACTTATACACAAATGTTCATAGAAGCATAATTCATAATAGCCAAAATATGGAAACAACCCGAATGTCCATTAACAGACGAATGGATGGATAAACAAAATGGGATCTATCTATACGGTAGAATATCATTCAGCCACAGAAAGGAAGAGCACGGGCACATGTTGCAACGTGGATGGGCCTTGAAAACATTACACTGAGTGAGAGAAGCCAGACACAAAGGAACACAGATCGTGTGATTCCATTTATATGAAATATCCAGAATAGGCAAATCTGCAGAGACAGAAAGTAGATTTAGCGGTTGCCTGGGGCTGGGGGAGGGGAAATGGGGAGCAACTGCCGATGGTGATGGAGTTGCTTGGGGGAGGTGATGAAAATGTTCTAAAATTGACTGTGGGGACGGTTGCGCAAGTCTGTGACTCTTCTAAAAAGACCATTGAATTGTACATATTAAACGGGTGAATTGTATGATATGTGAACTGTATCTCGATAAAGCTTTTAAAACACAATAAAACCTGGAAGGTAGGCAGTATGGGCTCCATTTTGCAGATGAGGAACTGGAGGCTCAGAGAGGCTAAGCAGCTTCTGTGAGATTATGCAGAGATTGGCCAGGGAAAGCCAATTTGTAGCATCATCTGTGTGGCTCCAAGGCCCCTGCCTGATCCCTGGTTTGGGTAGCCTCTGCTCCCGTGTGTATTCATTTCCTTGCGCTGTTGTAACAAACTACCACCAGCTGGGTGGCTTAAGACAGCAGAATTTTCTTCTCTCACAGTTCTGGAGGCTAGAAGTTAAATCGAGGTGTCAGCAGGGCCACCAGCAGCCCTCCAGAGGCTGTAGGGGAGATTCCTTCTTTGTCTCTTCCAGCTCTTGGGAGCCATTGGTAATCCTTGACTTGTGAGCCTGTGACTGCATCACTCTGGTCTCTGCCTCGGTGGTCACATCACCTCCTCTCTGCTCAATTCTCCTCCGCCTTTCTCTTATAAGGATGCTTGGCATTGGATTTGGGACCCACCTGGATAACCCAGAATGATCTCATTTCGAGATCCTTAACTTAATTGTATCTGCAAAGACCCTTTTTCCAAATAAGGTCACCTTGACAGGTTCCAGGGATTTGGTGTGGACACATCTTTTTGGGGACCACCATTCAGCCCACCACACATGCAATGTGAGTACAGGCTGGAGGGAAACAGGAAGCTTCTTGAAGGAGGTGAGAGCAAAGCTGGCCCTGAAGCCAGAGGATCTGAGGGAGCTTCTGAGTGCCCCATCCCAGGCCCAGAAGAGAATGGAGACGAAGTGGGGCAGGACATCGGGAAGGTGACGTCGTGAGGAAACACACACCCACTTGTGACCCCGTCCAGAGCTCCTTTTCTTTCAATCATCAACAGCTCTCACTACCCATGGAGGGTCTCAGCACAGGCCCCAGACAGCACAGAGAATGAACTTTCCAGTCCAACCTGGGCCCTGGCTGAGGCTGCTTGTTCATAACAGGTTGGGGCGGGGCTGCAGGAACCCAAACATAACCGGCTTGCAGCCCGGGCCCTGCCAGCCACGACCACAGGAAGCAGAACTGAAAGTTGAGGGCACCACCCTTTCCTTGGAGCAGGGCCAAGGCTGGGAGGTGGGGGAGGAGGGCTCCAACTCTGCTAGTGCCTCGGCCTGGGCCTCAGGTAGGCAATCTCCTGTCCTCTCCAGGATGGTAAGAGAAGCCTCCCTGCCCTGCATCCTGCCTGCTGTCTGCCTCCCATCCAATCTCGGGTATTTATCGAGACCCCACATCGTAGCAATCTGTCTCTTTTTGGAGGCAGTGTGATCTGGGGACAACAGCTCCAGACGGAGCCCAGCAATTCCACAAACTAGTTGTGTGGCTTTGGGCAAGTTACCCAAACTCTTGGTTTTCTCACAGAGCATCGGGTCTGCCAGGGACCCTCGAGCTCAACCTCTTTCATTCTACAGATGAGAAAACTGAGACCCCAAGAAGGGACATGACTTGCAAGAGACCCCACAGCCTGTCGGTGGCTGAGCCTGCACCTGATGCCCCAGCAGGAGACTCCCCATCCAGTGCTCTTTCCTCCCATCAAAATCCTTCCATGCAGATGATCACCCCATCACATCTAGGCACAAGCACAGGGTCCAGGTCCTATCACCAGTGCGAGACGGTGGGAGGAACAGCAGGGAGGAGCCTGAAGAAGTTTAGCGCAGCCTCACTTACTCACGGGCTCAGCTCCAAACTTGGGACAGCGCTGCCAGGTGTGGTTAAGCACGCAGTCGGAGACACACGGACAGGAGAGAAAGAAGGCGGCTCACATGAGCTTTGCAGTGAAACTGCCGGCCTCTGAGACCACGCCCTCCTACCAACTCACTGCAGTTGGGCGAGTTCATTTTTCTAAAGTACTTGGAGCCTCAGTTTCCTCATTTGTGAAATGGGAATAACAAGAATTGGTAACTCATAAGGATATGGTGAGTCGATTCCCCTGGAGCCTGTAGCAAGGGAACTGGCCATCAGTAAGTGCTCAACGAATGATACCTTAAAGCAGCACCCAACACATACGTGGGAGCAAGATATGCGTGATGGCCATTATGATTATTATTAGTTTGCCTCTCACCTCTGTGAGGGTGACAAAGGGACCCCTTCTCTTCCATCCCCTCCTGAGTCACCACATTGTGCTTTCTGTTCATTGGCATAAGGAGACCCCATAGACCGCGTAGTGACAAGAAAGGCCCCCCAGCCAGCAGGGCAGCTGGGATGGTCTGGGCCATGCCCCCATCGTCATCGCTGAGTAGCTGCCTGGGAATACAGTTACCCAAGGGCCCACGTTCTATGTCACGGGCTCAACCTGGAGAAGCCCCCACCACAACCCTGCTTCGCTAAGCCCACCGAAGCCTGCACTGTAAGCACTTCCTCCTGGGTAGGCAGGGATTTGCAGCTTTCAGTGACCCTCTGCCTCCATCCCCCACCCCGGTCTGAGTTCCCAAAGAGCTCTGGGAGAAGGCAGGATGGAGAACTATGCCCATGTGACAGAGGGGAAGGCTCAAACGCCCAGCAAAATGTCTTGCCCAAGGTCACGTGGTTTGGGAGCTGGTATCTTCAATCCTGGCTGTGAGGCCTTAGGCAAATCACTTAACTTCTCTGAGCACCAGTTTTCCCACCATTAGATGCAGAAAATAAAGTCTACCTTGCAGGACCCTCAAAAGACCCAAAGGGGCTTAGTGTGGGGTGCCAGCCACCCAGGAAGCCACAGTCCAAGGAAGCTCTTAATGTTAGGGGGTGTCAGAGCTGGGACTCAGGCCTGAGACTCTAGGCTCCCAAAATGCCACAGCTACCTCCCAGTCATGCCAAGATCTACTTGGATCTTGGCCTGGGATATCCCTCTGTCCCCGGAGCCATGTTTCCTGTGTCGATAGATGCTTAGGAAGTGCTTCAAAGGGCTTCAAAGGGCCCTTCGATGGCCTCTTTCTCCCACTTGCAATTCCAGAGGGGGCTGGGGACAGAGATGGCCCTGATTAGCCCACCACAGAGGAGAGACCCCCTTCTGCTGCCCTGGCACAGGGCAGATCATACAAGCCAGAGCCCCGTGAGGGCAGGGACCCCACCTGTCTAGCTTATCTGCCCCCAGCCTCTAGCATCTCTCCATACATGGCAGGCTCCCCCCGTCCACAGGGACGTTACAGAACCAGAATTCACAGGCCTACCGAGTGCCAGGCACCAAATGACAAGACGCGTAGACAGCCATTTGGTCTAACTTGCACGTTAGCTATATGTGTTCCTGTTTTTCAGATGAAGAAACAGGCTCAAGGAGATGAGTGGTGAGCAGGGATCGGAATCCGCCTCCTGGTTCCAAAGCCCCCCTTATCCCACAGCTTTCTCGAGTCCTTCTTCCCTCCCCGACACCCTGCTCTGCCACCCTGAGGACATGCCCTCGGCCAGGGAGGGAAGGTGTGGGTGGCAAGACAATTTCTCCTTTTGCGGAGCTGTCTGGGGCAGAGCAGAGGCGGGTCTGCGTCTTTTTGGTAAATGGGCAGTATTTTTAGAAGGTCCTGTTTGAAACCGCCCTTCCCCCAGCCCCCCACATCCAACTTGAGAAAAGGTTTCTAAGCTTCTTGCCACCAAAAGTCCTTTCTGGGGTTTGTTTCCAACCCCACGTCACACCACACACAGGTTTTGCAGGTACTAAGCAGGCTTCTGAAATAAAAATTCATTTCTTTCTTCTCTGGGGGAGATCGAGTGTTGCCAGAATGTTCTCGCTCAGACCTAAGCAACTTGAGGATCAGTCTACGCAGC